ATTGAGTCTGCGCGCGCGCAGGGCAGAACCTTCGGGAACGGCTGGAGCGTGGGCTTGGAGCTGGTCCGTGAGGAGAGTGATCAATGGAGAAAGGCGTGGAGAGTGGAACGCACGAGCTTGTGTAGTTTTATTGGGGATGGTGGCGCCAGCCTTTGTGTGCATGGCCTCTGCGATCGCGTCCAAGTCTAACCGCTTGTCGCGGATCTCCTGTAAGAGGTGGGTTGTGAAGACCGATTCGGCCACACTTCTGGTTGGTATGAGTCCGCAAAACTTGCCATGACTCAGGGTCCGCGCTGTATATAGTCAGCTGTTCCATGGTAGGTGAGGAGCCACGGGAACACGTCAAAGCCGGCGACGCCGGCTCGGCGGGACCATTGCGTGAAGGGTATTGGAATCCCAACAGGAGTCAGTAGGGCGCCACGACTCCTGGATGGTTGGTGTGGGAAATGGAACCGTGGGGGGGTTGCGTGACTGGGACTGTGTTTGAAGGATGTGGTTGTCGGTGTTGCAGGAGAGGCAGTAGGGAGCGGTGGTGGCGGTGGAGGCGGAAAAGATTGGTTGGCTGTGGCTGGCGGTGTGTGAGGTGGCGGCGAGGTCGAAGGTGGTGGTGTGTATGGATGTGACTGGTGGGCCTGGTGAGTGCGGATAGAGTGGCTCATCGGGCCGTAGGTGCCAGTTGGAGTATACTGAGGGGCTTCGTTGCCGGATGGAGGTTGGTGTTGTTGCTGCTGCTGCAGGAGATAGTGCTGCCAGTAGAACCAAGCGGCATTTCAAAAGCCAATCTGTGCTGGGCAGCCGGCCGTGGAGCCGAAGCGTAGAGAGTCCGTATGGATGTGAAACTAGTGGCTAAAATGATGAACCAGTGTGATCGCGATTGGGGGCCATCGACCATGTTGCTGGAGGCGTCGGTGAGGTAGCCGGCGATGATGCAGAAGTGGCTGTCCAGAGAGATTGGTGTAGTGAACTGCAGTGACTGTGGGATGTCGTGATGTCTGAGAGTGGTTGACGGTCAGCGCTGTGGGTGCTGATGGGGACTTGTGGAGATGTGGTGTTGTTTGTGGGCGTCCTGTCGCGTGAACGCGAGCGGGCGCGAGGTGTCAAGTGAGTGATGAGGCGGTGCTGAGGCGGAAGAGAAGGAGGTCTGTTCGTAGGTGGTAAGAGTGGAGAAGAGAGGTTGAAGTTGGTGGTGGCGGATGGGGGGAAACGTGCTGCAGGGTCCATGCGATAATGGCCTGGAGAGCCAGGGGAGCCAGGCAGAAATTGGAGGATGCGGATGCCTTGGCATAGGTCGGTGCTGATCGTGCCCAGGTGGCGAAGGGTAGTGCGGAGTTGGAGATAGAGACGGTATGCTTGTTGGTCTGCGAAGGAGGCTGGGTAAGGAAGGGGATCTGTGACAATTGGGTGATGCTGGAGGGTCGGTGACGACGCTGTGGAGTGTAGCGATCATCCAAGATAGAAGCAAGAGTTCTGGCTGATGAGTTGCAGATGGAGCGAGATAGGGGAGTGGGTTCCCCGGCAGGAAGTGTCCGGCTGCTGGGCCCGACGATGGGTCGGATAGAAAAGCGGTCGGTGGCCCCTCCAAAGTCATCGGTGCTGCAGCCGGCGGTGCAGAGCCAAAAGATGGATCGGCCATGGCTGTGGATAAGGGCTGAAGTGTGCTCTCAGCGTGTGATCTCGAGGAAACGGCTGCGGAAACTGACGAGTGGAGTTGAACTGACATTAGTGTCTGAAAAAATGACCAAGAAAATAGGTGGTGAACAAAAGAGATTGACATGTGATTGAAATGTGATGGACGAAAGGGTTGAAGCAGATCTCTCAATCTTTTCCGTATGAGGCTGTCAACCTAAGGGAGTGAAAAATATGTAAGCCGGCTCACTGCGATATGGTGATAGAGCGTGTAGTGGGAGAGGCTACGATGCCGAGCTGCGGTCTCTGGTAGTGCGACTGCGAGTCGAAGGACGGAGACTGGGCTGGCGGTGGTAGCGAGTCGGAGCCGGGGAGACGCGAGATTCATCGGCCAAGAAATCTGTAGTGTTGGGTGGGAATTGTGCAAGAGGATCGACGCGGTATCTGCCAGGTTGGCCCGGGGGGCCTGGTATGAATTGAAGCAAACGGCTGGCACGTTTCAAACGCATGGTGTGTCTGGCTAGCTCGACCGCACTGCGGTGGTACTGGAAATAAAGACGGCAGGCATCAACATCTGTGAACAGGTTGAGGTCTGGTACGGGACTGTCAATCATGGGATGGTTGAGGATCTGAGTGACAACGGCGGCAAGAGTGTCGAGGAGCGCTTGCATGAGAAGAGTCTCTGGCTGATGTGTGACGGAAGGGGCCAGGTGTGGAGGGGGATTGTCTGGGAGAAAGTAGGTCATGTTTGTTGGATCTTGCTCCGTAGAAGGTGGCGGCAAGGCGCTGGTCGGCGGGGAGTCTGCTGAAGCCATGATAGAGTAGCGCGAAGATGGTGATCTGTACAACCAAAGCAAATCGGAATCTGGAAACGGCTGCGGGAGCGTGAAGTGATGTCAATGATGGTCAAATGCCGCTATGAGATGAGGTGATTAACTGCCATGATGTGGTGATTTCGAGTGCAAGTGATATGCAAGAGGTGATCCTGTGGTGAAAGGAAACTGAAATTGTTTGCCAAGAGCGCGCCGAACGAAGCTGGGTGAAACATGCGACTATACAAAATAGCTGCCAATCGCATCTGCTGCTGCAGGTTCCGGATGACTGTCCTCACGAGTGTCTGGGCACAGAGCGTCGGTGCCAGCGGCCGCTGCTGGTGGTAGAGATGGAGGTGTTGTGGGAGTGTAAGAGAAATCCGGTGCTGAGGGCAGTGGTTGAGGTGGAGTTGCCGCTGTTGGAGAAGGAGAGAGGACAGGTTGGATGGGCGAGAGTGGTGGCGGTGTGTTGGCAGGCGAAGTCGGTGTCGGGGAGTGTGGCGAAGGCGGGGGGATGGTGGCTTGAAGAATGCGTTGATCTTCCTTCAGTTCCTCCCAGCGTGCTTGGCACTGTTCTATAGAGAAACCTACGCGACGAGCAACGGAGTTCCAATTGGGTCGAAGGCGGGCATCT